ATGGAAATCATATCCCCCCTTATGTATTATACATGGAGATCATATCCCCCTTATGTATTATACATGGAGATCATATCCCCCTTATGTATTATACATGGAGATCATATCCCCCTTATGTATTATACATGGAGATCATATCCCCCCCTTATGTATTATACATGGACATCATATCCCCCTTATGTATTATACATGGTGATCATATCCCCCCTTATGTATTATACATGAAGATCATATCCCCCCTTATGTATTATACATGGAGATCATATCCCCCCTTATGTATTATACATGGAGATCATATCCCCCCCCCTTATGTATTATACATGGTGATCATATCCCCCTTATGTATTATACATGGAGATCATATCCCCCTTATATATTATACATGGAGATCATATCCCCCCTTATGTATTATACATGGAGATCATATCCCCCCTTATGTATTATACATGGAGATTATATCCCCCCTTATGTATTATACATGGAGATCATATCCCCCTTATGTATTATACATGGTGATCATATCCCCCTTATGTATTATACATGGAGATCATATCCGCCTTATGTATTATACATGGAGATCATATCCCCCCTTATGTATTATACATGGAGATCATATCCCCCCTTATGTATTATACATGGAGATCATATCCCCCCCCTCCTTATGTATTATACATGGAGATCATATCCCCCTTATGTAATATACATGGAGATCATATCCCCCCTTATATATTATACATGGAGATCATATCCCCCCTTATGTATTATACATGGAGATCATATCCCCCCCTCCTTATGTATTATACATGGAGATCATATCCCCCTTATGTATTATACATGGAGATCATATCCCCCTTATGTATTATACATGGAGATCATATCCCCCTTATGCATTATACATGGTGATCATATCCCCCCTTATGTATTATACATGGTGATCATATCCCCTCTTTTGTATTATACATGGAGATCATATCCCCCCCTTATGTATTATACATGGAGATCATATCCCCCTTATGTATTATACATGGAGATCAAATCCCCCTAATGTATTATACATGGAGATCATATCCTCCTTATGTATTATACATGGAGATCATATCCCCCCTTATGTATTTTACATGGAGATCATATCCCCCCTTATGTATTATACATGGAGATCATATCCCCCCTAATGTATTATACATGGAGATCATATCCCCCCTTATGTATTATACATGGAGATCATATCCCCCTTATGTATTATATATGGAGATCATATCCCCCCTTATGTATTATACATGGGGATCATATCCCCCCCTTATGTATTATACATGGAGATCATATCCCCCCTTATGTATTATACATGGAGATCATATCCCCCTTATGTATTATACATGGAGATCATATCCCCCCTTATGTATTATACATGGAGATCATATCCCCCCTTATGTATTATACATGGGGATCATATCCCCCCCTTATGTATTATACATGGAGATCATATCCCCCCTTATGTATTATACATGGAGATCATATCCCCCTTATGTATTATACATGGAGATCATATCCCCCCTTATGTATTATACATGGAGATCATATCCCCCCTTATGTATTATACATGGAGATCATATCCCCCCCTATGTATTATACATGGAGATCATATCCCCCCCTTATGTATTATACATGGTGATCATATCCCCCCTTATGTATTATACATGGAGATCATATCCCCCCTTATGTATTATACATGGAGATCATATCCCCCCTTATGTATTATACATGGAGATCATATCCCCCCTTATGTATTATACATGGAGATCATATCCCCCCCCCTCCTTATGTATTATACATGGAGATCATATCCCCCTTATGTAATATACATGGAGATCATATCCCCCCTTATATATTATACATGGAGATCATATCCCCCCTTATGTATTATACATGGAGATCATATCCCCCCTCCTTATGTATTATACATGGAGATCATATCCCCCCTTATGTATTATACATGGAGATCATATCCCCCTTATGTATTATACATGGAGATCATATCCCCCCTTATGTATTATACATGGTGATCATATCCCCCCTTATGTATTATACATGGTGATCATATCCCCCCTTATGTATTATACATGGAGATCATATCCCCCCTTATGTATTATACATGGAGATCATATCCCCCTTATGTATTATACATGGTGATCATATCCCCCCTTATGTATTATACATGGTGATCATATCCCCCCTTATGTATTATACATGGAGATCATATCCCCTCTTTTGTATTATACATGGAGATCATATCCCCCCTAATGTATTATACATGGAGATCATATCCCCCTTATGTATTATACATGGAGATCATATCCCCCTAATGTATTATACATGGAGATCATATCCCCCTTATGTATTATACATGGAGATCATATCCCCCCTTATGTATTTTACATGGAGATCATATCCCCCCTTATGTATTATACATGGAGATCATATCCCCCCTAATGTATTATACATGGAGATCATATCCCCTTATGTATTATACATGGAGATCATATCCCCCTTATGTATTATATATGGAGATCATATCCCCCCTTATGTATTATACATGGAGATCATATCCCCCCCTTATGTATTATACATGGAGATCATATCCCCCCTTATGTATTATACATGGAGATCATATCCCCCCTTATGTATTATACATGGAGATCATATCCCCCCTTATGTATTATACATGGAGATCATATCCCCCCTTATGTATTATACATGGAGTCCTTTAGGCTATAGGAGGCTAGACTCGGGAAAGTAGGAGAAGAAAACATATTGGCATCAGTGGGAGTACACAAGTTCCCATCTTTGGTATTAGAGGAGGAATATTGCCCAATCGTTGGTGTCAGCCAGGTAATAAGGCGGACTCTGTCTGACTTGCTGCAGCTTGTTCACAGTGTGCAGTGAAATCAAAGTAATCCATTTCAGTCCAGGAGAGGAGCCGGTCCTCCTGGAGGCTGGAGGTGTGATTGAAGCTGTTTCTGTTGTTGGAAAGCTCTGCTCACCTGTGTTGTCTTTCAGGTGACATTGCCAGTTTATCATTTTTCTCATACATGGTGTGGTTTTTTTTTTTTCCCTTCGGAAAGTCCCGAAAATATAGAACTAGATAAAAGTTCAGCCCCACCCTGATTGCCCATTAGAGGTTATTAATGGCATAGAAAACATAAGTAAATATCATAAAGAGATAGAAGAATCATATACAAAGATCAGCGATATACGGAGATAAGGAGGACAGAGATAGCACAGAAGGTCACGTTCACTATAAAGGTTTCACAGCCATTGGGGGCAGTTGTTTGTTTTTGTCGGTGACAGTGGTCTCCAAACTGCGGCCCCGAGGGTCAGATGCAGCTATTTGCTAGCCTTTATCCAGCCCTTGGGGTAATAGTCCTCCCACTGATATGAGGCATTATTCCTTCTACTGACACCAACAGTGGGGCATAATTCCTGAAACTAATAGTGGGGCACTATCCCTCCCACTGATATCAATGATAGGACACTATTCCTCCCACTGATACCAATGATGGGGCACTATTCCTCCCACTGACACCAATGATGGGGCACTATTCCTCCCACTGACACCAATGATGGGGCACTATTCCTCCCACTAACACCAATGATGGGGCACTATTCCTCCCACTGATACCAATGATGGGCCACTATTCCTCCCACTGACACCAATGATGGGCCACTATTCCTCCCACTGACACCAATGATGGGCCACTATTCCTCCCACTGATACCAATGATGGGGCACTATTCCTCCCACTGACACCAATGATGGGGCACTACTCCTCCCACTGACACCAATGATGGGGCACTATTCCTCCCACTGACACCAATGATGGGCCACTATTCCTCTCACTGACACAAATGATGGGGCACTATTCCTCCCACTGATACCAATGATGGGGCACTATTCCTCCCACTGACACAAATGATGGGGCACTATTCCTCCCACTGACACCAATGATGGGACACTATTCCTTCCACTGATACCAATGATGGGACACTATTCCTTCCACCGATCCCAATGATGGGGCACTATTCCTCCCACTGACACCAATGATGGGACACTATTCCTCCCACTGACACCAATGATGGGGCACTATTCCTCCCACTGATACCAATGATGGGGCACTATTCATCCCACTGACACCAATGATGGGGCACTAGTCCTCTCACTGATACCAATGATGGGGCACTATTCCTCCCACTGATACCAATGATGGGGCACTATTCCTCCCACTGACACCAATGATGGGGCACTATTCCTCCCACTAATATCAATGATGGGACACTACTCCTCCCACTGACACCAATGATGGGACACTATTCCTTCCACTGATCCCAATGATGGGGCACTATTCCTCCCACTAATATCAATGATGGGACACTACTCCTCCCACTGACACCAATGATGGGGCACTATTCCTCCCACTGACACCAATGATGGGGCACTATTCCTCCCACTGACACCAATGATGGGACACTATTCCTTCCACTGATACCAATGATGGGACACTACTCCTCCACTGACACCAATGATAGGGCACTATTCCTCCCACTGACACCAATGATGGGGCACTATTCCTCCCACTGACACCAATGATGGGACACTATTCCTTCCACTGATACCAATGATGGGACACTATTCCTTCCACTGATCCCAATGATGGGGCACTATTCCTCCCACCGATATCAATGATGGGACACTATTCCTCCCACTGACACCAATGATGGGACACTATTCCTCCCACTGATACCAATGATGGGACACTATTCCTCCCACTGATACCAATGATGGGACACTATTCCTCCCACTGACACCAATGATGGGGCACTATTCCTCCCACTGATACCAATGATGGGGCACTATTCATCCCACTGACACCAATGATGGGACACTATTCCTCCCACTGATACCAATGATGGGGCACTATTCCTCCCACTGATACCAATGATGGGGCACTATTCCTCCCACTGATACCAATGATGGGGCATTATTCCTCCCACTGATACCAATGATGGGGCACTATTCCTCCCACTGACACCAATGATGTGGCACTATTCCTCCCACTGATACCAATGATGGGGCACTATTCCTCCCACTGATACCAATGATGGGGCACTATTCCTCCCACTGACACCAATGATGGGGCACTATTCCTCCCACTGATACCAACAATAAGGTGAAATTTCTTCCACTGATAACAATGATGGGCCACTATTCTTCCTCCTATTTCCACTGATACCAATGATGGGGTACTGTTCCTGCCAGTAATACCAATTATGGGCCACTATTCCTCCTCCTACTAACCAAGGGTGCTATATAACTGACTACCAACCCTGTGGCAATGATTATTCTCACTGATGTTGGGTCCGGGACATTTTTTACCCCCACTGGCCACAATCCAGCCCCCCCCTTAAAGTCCGAAGGACTATAAACTGGCCCTTTGTAAAGTTTGGAGACCCCTGGTCTGTGACATTAGCAGGACACCACCTCCAACAGTATTAATGTCCACAGACACAGTCGACCACTACCAGTCCCATCATACTAATCCCCTCCCCACTGTCAGCATGCAGTTACAATAGTAGGGCATGAGGGGGCACCCTTCCAATGCGAGGTGCTGGAATCCTGCAACTCAGTAGATTACATTAAAAAAGTCCTGGATTCTTTCTCGGATACACAGAATATAACTGGATATAACATTTATAGGTAAAGTTGATCCAGGGAATATCCGATTGCCTCTCGGGGGATCAGGAAGGAATTTTTTTCACCTGCAGGAGCAAATTGGATCGTGATTTGCTGGGTTTTTTTTGCCTTCCTCTGGATCAACTGTGGGTGTAGGATTATAACTTTTCTTTAATGGTTGAACTGGATGGACTTTTGTCTTTTTTCAGCCAGACTAACTATGTAATTATTAGTGATGGGCCGAACACCCCCTGTTTGGTTCATGGTGGAACATTTAAAACAGACCAAAGGTTTGCCAAGAACATCAAACCTAATGCAAGTCTTTGGGATTTGAACTTGCAAATTTTGATGCCCATTTTGTTGGCTTATATCAGGGTTGGGCAACTGTGGCCCTCCAGCTGTTGGTGAACTACAAGTCCCATCATGCCTCTGCCTTTGGGAGTCATGCTTGTAACTGTCAGTCATGGGACTTGTAGTTCTACAACAGCTGGAGGGCCACAGTTTCCCACCCCTGGCTTATATGCAAGGTATTGGCCATAAAAGTGGTATGGGGACTCGGGTACTGCCCTAAGGGACATGAATCAGTGAAAATATATTTTTCAAATAGTACATTTTTTAAAGGGGCAGTCATTTTTAATTGCTTACAGTAGAAAAATGTTTTAAAAAATTCCTTTAACCTATGGCCGAAAGGCGGGTGGCAAATGTCATCAGCATTCCGGGTGGACGCCATATGGCGTCCTCCCGCACATGCGCACATTGCGCTCCTGCAGAGCGCTGCAGCGGCGCGATCTGTCACCGGCCGTTGTACCTCGGACACGGCCGATGACAGATCTGAGTATCGGCCCCATTGCCGGGTACCATGTGACCTGCTGTGACCAATCACAGCAGGTCACATGACAGTTGTATACAATGGATGGCTTCATTCATGCCATATACCACTGCCTAGCTGTGAATGGTCACAGCTAATCACATGCACATGTCATGTGATTAGCTGTGGACAAATCACAGCTAAGTACAAAAAAAAACAAAAAAAAACCCAGAATGAGTCGATGTCATTCAGGTAAATGCTTGCTTATAGCAAAGTAATTCTTTGCTATAAGCAAATTGTGTAAAAAAAAAAAAAAATACTGATCACTTCCCCAAAGTAGTACAATGTTACTATGGTAACATTGTACTACTTTGGTCATAGTAAAATATGAAAAGAAAATCCTAAAAAAAAGAAAAAAAATGTAATAAAAAAAAATATATAATTTTTTTTTTTCATACTGTCACCAGTCAGTGTCCCTGATCACCGCCATGCCAGTTATATGATGACGCTGTACTGCACTGGTGACAACATGTAAAAAAAAATAGTGAAACTAATTTTTAAAATTTTTTAATTTTCCGAAAAATTATGACAAAAAAATACAACTTCAAAAAACTCGGCATGACTCTTATGACGTACGTCGGACTGTCTACTCTGCAAAAAGGGGTCATTTGGGGATATCTGTACTATCCTGACATTTGGGGGATATCTGTCCTGTCCTGACATTTGGGGGATATCTGTACCGTTCTGACATTTGGGGGATATCTGTACTGTCCTGACATTTGGGGGGATATCTGTACTGTCCTGACATTTGGGGGGATATCTGTACTGTCCTGACATTTGGGGGATATCTGTACTGTCCTGACATTTGGGGGATATCTGTCCTGTCCTGACATTTGGGGGATATCTGTACTGTCCTGACATTTGGGGGATATCTGTCCTGTCCTGACATTTGGGGGATATCTGTACCGTTCTGACATTTGGGGGATATCTGTACTGTCCTGACATTTGGGGGGATATCTGTACTGTCCTGACATTTGGGGGGATATCTGTACTGTCCTGACATTTGGGGGATATCTGTACTGTCCTGACATTTGGGGGATATCTGTACTGTTCTGACATTCTTGGACCTCAAGAAATTAGATTGGCCGTCAGTACTTCAGGATTGATCAATATTCAGATCTATCCCATAGTTTGTGAACTCTATAACTTTCCTACAAACTAAATAATACATCCTAATTTGGGTTATTTTCACCAAAGACATGTAGCAGAATACATCTCGGCCTAAATTTATGAAGAACAATTATTTATTTGCAAACTTTTATAACAGAAACAAAGAAAAACTTTTTTTTTCCAAAATTTTTGGTCTTTTTTTGTTAATTTAGCAAAAAATAAAAACCCCGGCGGTGATTAAATACCACCAAAAGAAAGCTCTAGTTGTGTGAAGAAAATGATAAAATTTTAGTTTGGGTACAATGTTGTATGACCGCGCAATTGTCATTCAAAGTGTGAGAGCGCGCTGAAACCTGAAAACTGGCCTGGGCAGGAAGGGGGTAAAATTGCCCGGTATTGAATTGGTTAAATATCATGCCTGGGGGGGTCCCCTTAAACTACCTGCAATGTTGCACATCTGTACAATATATAGAACCTGCTGCAGCAGGACTCACACCGTAACCCTTCAGAGTTATTCTTACCCCTGGTTCACATCTGAGTGGGTGGTGCCGCTGCGGATCCGCCACGAAAATCCGTGCAGCCGCACCTCCTGCACAGAGAATTCCGGACCTGCGGGCGGGTGCCATTAGTTCTAATGGCACGCGCCCACACTGGAAAATGCAACCGTACTGAGAACCGAGGTTCCCGTGAGAGCTGCATTTTCCAAAGAAGTGCAGGGAGTTCTTTCCCTGCGTGTCACAGGCATGGGAGTCCATTGAAATGAATGGGCTCTCGTGCCCTTGCAAAACGCGGCCCGCGCAGCCCCATAGAGTGCAGGGTTGGACCCTGCTGTAAAAACACTAATTATATGCACCTGTCATACAGGTGCCAAAAAATTTGGCCTTGGGGGTTTGTGGTGCCTGAACACTGTAACCCCTCATAGTTACTCTTGCTGGGCCCTGCAGTTAAAAATTGTTAACAATTATAGATAAATGGTAAAAAACATGACATGCACCTGTGAAACAAGTGCCGAAAAATTGGGCCTTGGGTGTTGGTGGTGCCCTAAATCAAAAAAATTGTTGGAAGCTAGCAAAATCAGGATTGAGGAATAGGATAGGCAGCATAGGCAGTCTTCAAGGGATCTCAGATCCCTAACAAATGTAATCAGTTACATCAGCATCAAGGACAAGATAGTTGCTGTTGATCCAGGACCAGGGGTGGACTGACAGCTCATGGGGCCCCCGGGCAATAGGGGATCATGGGGCCCCTGTGTCCTTGCCCAAACTCAAAAAAGCCTATAAAAAGAACCAGGGGCATCTCATGGGGCCCCCTACTGGCCCCGGGCCCTCGGGCAGTGCCCAAGTTTCCAAATGGTCAGTCCACCGCTGTCCAGGACTAATTCATTTTGATAAATGTCAGCTGGTCAGTGGAGTCTGTGGATAGACACACTCTTTTACCCATCAAAAAAACCTCCAGCAGCACCGAATGTCCATTTGGAAAGCACACTGGATGAAGGACAGGCCAGTAGCTCGATGGTATATTGAGCACGTTTTGGCCAGTGATCCATCCTCAAGACCCAGTAACCCAGTGGGTGCTCAGTTGGAAAGATCTCCAAGTCTGCTCTTGCCCCTAGATAATCCTGCACCATATGATGCAGATGTTGGTGATGGGTGCTTATACCTCACAGTCCTGGGAGCTGAGGACTAAAGAACTGTATAATCTCCCTAGCGGTCTGATTATGTCCATATTTCTGTGCTCAAAGCGGTACATTTTTTTGCATGGAAATATGTCGTTTTTTATTGTAGGCTGTAATTTTTAGGAATAACTCACTGAAATCTGTCCGAACAAGAGTCTAGTAAACATCCCGGGGATGATAAAACTTGAAACACGAAATCATAAATTATAATATAATAAATAATCATAAAAATAATAATATAATAATAATAAATCTAATTCAATAATATAATCAAACCAAAAACACTGAAATGTGAAATATAGCGCCAAGTTTGCACATCGCTGAGCAAAGTCGCAGAATCGTTTTCTGATGAGGAATTTCCCCCACGAATCATTATCACTCAATTCTGCAAGTGGTTCTGATTTCCTATCGCTGATCTCTAGCCGGTCTAAAACCGCTTTTGACCTAAAGGGATGCTTTTTGGACGCCATGGACTTTTCCAGGCAGAAAGAACAGTCAAAATGCAGGCAGGGCGCCGGACAAAGCAGTAGGGACAAAATGTATGTGAAATGGTTTGATACAGGAATGTTTTACTATGTCAAATTCATTTCTAAGAAAATGACAGTTTCTAAAAATTTTTACAAAAAAAGAAAGAAAGCGCCAATCAATAATACCAATATTATAAAGCAGCAAACCTCTAACCTAAATTTGGTGTAAAACATAAATCAAAAATCGTAATGCGCTAAAAATATATAATAAAAATCCATATACTGTGCAGAAAAAGTCCAAACACCATAAGTGCAACATATACAAAAATTCCAGTGAAACAGTCCATAAATATTAATGTGAAAAATTCAAACACCAAATAATCTTCTTAATCGTTCATGACACCGTGTTTAATCCACCACCAGATAAATGGGATAAAACTCACCAGAGCTCAATGCTGATCAAATTATAAATCAGCACAAGCGTATTTGCTCTGGGAGCGATGAATGAATCCAGATCATGAAGCAATACTCTGTGGTTTGAAATCATCCAGATACCAGGAGCAATACTCTGCAGCCACTCTGTAGCATGGCCAGGACCCTTTATATATCGATCATCAAGTCAAGTGTCCACCCGACACTGGTGTAAAAACAAAGAAGGACGAGAGAGATGGACGAGCCCCGCTCACCGCAGACACCTTGCCGACAGCCACAGGGAACGTCCTGACGTCATCCAATAGGCTCTGTCTTACGCGTTTTGTCACTCTGACATCCTTGCCGCTCCGTCTCTGGGTTGATGAGCGTGTCGTGGTGCCTTCACTGGGCTGTGGCCGGTCCTGGATTGCATGCGGCGGTACAGCGTGCATGCACGTGATATCATCTTCTTGCTGTCAGACGTCAATGCGTGGGTGGGCGAGGCAGCACAGAGCACTCCTGGGGCCATTTGAGGCCATGAGGGTGACCTGAGGGCTCGACGTCCGTTAGTGGGCCCAGTGCTCACTGCCCAGCATCATAGAGCTTGATTGGCATTTGCCATTGAACACCATAATTGGCAGGTCCACCACTGGCGCCCTGTGCTTTTCACAGATGAGAGCAGGTTCACCCTGAGCACATGTGACAGATGTGAAAGGGTCTGGAGAAGCCGTGGAGAACGTTCTGCTGCCTGTAACATGGTTCAGCATGACTGTTTTGGTGGTGGATCAGTGATGGTCTGGGGAGGCATATCCATGGAGGGACACACAGACCTCTACAGGCTAGACAATGGCACCCTGACTGCCATTAGGTATGAAAATGAAATCCTTGAACCCATTGTCAGACCCTATGATGGTGCAGTGGGTCCTGGGTTCCTCCTGGTGCAGTGGGTCCTGGGTTCCTCCTGGTGCGGTGGGTCCTGGGTTCCTCCTGGTGCAGGGGATCCTGGGTTCCTCCTGGTGCAGTGGGTCCTGGGTTCTTCCTGGTGCAGGGGGTCCTGGGTTCCTCCTGGTGTAGTGGGTCCTGGGTTCCTCCTGGTGTAGTGGGTCCTGGGTTCCTCCTGTTGCACGACAATGCCCCGGCCTCATGTGGGGAGAGTATGCAGGCAGTTCCTGGAGGATGAAGGAATTGATACCATTGAATGGCCCCCATGCTGGTCTGACCTAAATCCAATAGAACCCCTCTGGGATGTCATGTTTCGGCCCATCCGACGTCGCCAGGTTGCACCTCAGACTGTCCAGGAGCTCAGTGATGCCCTGGTCCAGATCTGGGAGGAGGAAATCCCCCAGGACACCATCCGTGGTCTCATTAGGACCCTCCCCCGACGTTGTCAGGCATGCATACAAGCACGTGGGGGCCACACAAACTACTGAGGACCATTCTGAGTTGCTTCAATGACATTTCATCAAAATGGACTCGCCTGCTGCATCATTTCTTCACTTTGATTTTCGGGGTGTCTTTGAATTCAGTCCTTTGTAGGTCGATCATTTTCATTTCCATCAAATAATGGGACATCCTTACGTTCCTAAAACATTAACCGTCCATGTCAGTATAGAGACCCAGCAGGAGATTTTTCCCCATTGAGATCTGATGGGTTTTTAACCACCTCCCGCCCTCGTTCTGGGAGGACGTCCTACCATTCTAACCGCGCATGCGTGGCTCCCAGAGCGCGCAGCGCGGCGATCGGCGGTGCCCTGTGTCCCTCGGACACAGCGGATCACCGATCCACAGAAAGAGACAAAGATGTCGGCTCGGTGATGTGATCAGCTGTGTCCAATCACAGCTGATCACTTGAAAACAGGGAAATGCCGGTTATCGGCATTTCTCTCCTCTCAAGCTGTCACGCTGACAGAGGAGAGGAGAGCCGGTAATCGGCATTCCGCGGAGGGGACATGTGCCCTGATGATCAGTGTAGCTCCACCTGTCAGTGTCCATCAGTGCCAGCTGTCAGTGCTCATCAGTGCCACGTGCCAGTGCCCATCAGTGCCACACCAGTGCCACATATCAGTGCCTAACAGTGCACATCAATGCTACATATCAATGCCAATCTGAGCTGCCTTTCAGTGTCACCCATCAGTGGCAGTCAGTGCTTCCTATCAATGCCAATCAGTGCCACCTATTAGTGCCAGTCAGTGCCGCCTGTCAGTGCCGCTTATCAGTGCCGCATATCAGTGCTGCTTTTTCAGTGCCCATCAGTGATGCCTGTCAATGCCATCAGTGCCACCTACCAGTGGCTCCTCATCAGCGTCCATCACTGCAGCCTCATTAGCGCACATCAGTGAAGGAGAAAAATCACTTATTTACAAAATTTTATAACAAAAACTAAGAAAAAACTTTTTTTTTTCAAAATTTTCAGTGGTTTTTGGTTTGTTTAAGAAAAAATAAAAAACCCCGAGGTGATTAAATACCACCAAAATAAAGCTCTATCTGTCAAAAAAATGGTAAAAATTTCATATGGGTCCAGTGTTGCATGACCGCGCAATTGTCATTCAAAGTGCGACAGCGCTGAAAGCTGGAAATTGGCCTGGGCAGGAAGGGGGTAGAAGTGCCCGGGAGGCAGGAAGGGGGTAGAAATGCCCTGTAGGCAGGAAGGGGGTAGAAGTGCCCTGTAGGCAGGAAGGGGGTAGAAGTGCCCTGTAGGAAGGAAGGGGGTAGAAGTGCCCTGTAGGCAGGAAGGGGGTAGAAGTGCCCTGTAGGCAGGAAGGTGGTAGAAGTGCCCGGTGGGCAGGAAGGTGGTAGAAGTGCCAGGTAGGCAGGAAGGGGGTAGAAGTGCCCTGTAGGCAGGAAGGGGGTAGAAGTGCCCGGTAGGCAGGAAGGGGGTAGAAGTGTCCTGTAGGCAGGAAGGGGGTAGAAGTGTCCTGTAGGCAGGAAGGGGGTAGAAGTGTCCTGTAGGCAGGAAGGGGGTAGAAGTGCCCTGTAGGCAGGAAGGGGGTAGAAGTGCCCTGTAGGCAGGAAGGGGGCAGAAGTGCCCTGTAGGCGAGGGGTTAAAGTGTTCCTTTCATTTTTGTGAGCCATGTATATACGGTATATAATATATATGATCTACCATCAGTCTTGTGTTCCCGGCCAGAAAGAAGCATGGCTTTCCAAAAAATAATAATACAGTTTGGCAATGTTGACATTCTTTGATTCATGTGAAGTGGGAGTATTAATGACAGGTGCCCTTTAAAAGGTAAATTCTTCTTCTGCAGATTAGCATTAATAGATTGATTCAGATGGTAGTAAATAGAGCGATTTAATCCCCGTCAGGATCAGTCATCTGAAGCCATCACACCCCATTTTTCTTTCCCGTACATAATCATATCTCTGCCTTTAATCTCCTCGCAGATCACGGCGAATCACCTCCATGAAGTGACAGTTCTCTGCTAATCTCCTCCAGATGGCCTTGTATATACTTGTCCTGTGAGTTCCCACTCTGTGCTGGTTGTTTGTGTTGTGCAGAACGATCACATTGGGGACGATGTACCGAGAATAATACCATGGTTTTCCCCTAAAAATAGACCCCCTACAAGTCCTGACTATACCTCCGTCTGCTTCTGGAGGCCTGATGATGGAATGGAGCTTCCGTTGTATAAATATTTAAATGTGGATGGAAATTGACCAACAAATGGCCGTTTCTCCAAAACAACAGTCTGCGCTAATTGTAAATTAAAGGGGTCATCCTCATGACATGAACAAAGCATATCCCCCTATAGTGTGTACTTATCTCAATCCAGGGCACTGAGTGTCATTTCTGTCTGCTGCCTAGTTCCTCACTTCTGACAACAAAAGATAAAAAGGTGACAGGGGAGGGAGCTCCAGCACACAGCCTGTGATTGACAGCATCAGATCTGTTCCTGTGTGCTCTGTGGAGGGGGGGGGGGTGTTCCTTCCCTCCAATCAGCTCTCAGCTCTCCTCAATGAGTTTTGCAGTGTGTGATTTATCTACATTCATTCAAAATGCTGAATTTATAAAGCTTGCCTGAGCTGTCGGAACAAAAAGAGGGTGGAGAGCAGGGATGGACTGACAACTCATGGGGTCCCCGGGCAATAGGGGATCATGGGCCCCGGTGTCCTTGCCCAAGCTCAAAAAAGCCTATGAAAAAGGTACCAGGGGCATCTCATGGGGCCCCCTACTGACCCCGGGCCCTCGGGCAGTGCCTGAGTTTCCAAATGGTCAGTCCGCCCCTGGTGGAGAGCTGAAATCACACACTGCAAAGCTCAGTGAGGAGAGCTGAGAGCTGATTGGAGGGAAGGAACATACCCCCCTCCACAGAGCACACAGGAACAGATCTGATGCTGTCAATCACAGGCTGTGTGCTGGCGCTCCCTTCCCTTTCACCTTTTATCTTTTGTTGTCAGAAGTGAGGAACCAGGCAGCAGACAGAAATGAGGAGGCTGCAGATAAACAGGTAGAACTTACTGTATGTAGGAGGATTCGGATGATCCCTGTATCACCCGAGGCCAGCTACTTACTGTACATGTAAGGGATTACAACCACTTTAATTTGAATAGAATGCTGGGGAAAATACATTGGCTCTAGAGACCTAGGGGTCTTATTTATGAAAGGTTTGCATGAATTGTCATCCAGCAAGCCCACGTGCACATTCACTCTGTAAGAACCAACCAGCTGCCGTGAGAATGGGGCAAAGTCGAATGTTCAAAGGCTTTTTTTCTCTCATGGTCGAATGTTTTTTTACATAATTATGGGAAATAGTAATGATAGTTCCATTTAGGCTACATTCACATGGGAGGCCGTGGGTGCATAGTTTGCTGCAATAAGAGCGGGCTTTACTCCTCCAGAGAGTGCTATGGCCAACTTGTGTGCGGCTTGAACACCAATCCTGGCATCCATGGATCTATTTGCATGAAACCGTTCAATTGAGCAGTTATATGTGAACAGCAGTGTCTCTGGCTTTTGATTTGTACAGAGTGCAAGTGAGAGAACCTCCGCGGACAGCTAGTTCTGTTCATTCACAGTGCATGCAGGAATCAATAGCAAAACGTCAGATAGGATGAAACACACGCCTGTGTTGACGTCATCACGCCTGCCAGAGATGCCATATCTTTCTATTTTTTTTGTGAGTAGATGTACAATACATTCCTTTAAATAAATATGCAGTTTTGCACTATGGAATACTTGCTTCTTTTTTACATGGGCATAACATTTTTTTGAATCAACTTTATTGCTATCACAAGGGATGAACAACAAGTTTCATGCTCAGATCCAGGGCCAATCCCTCCATTGGCTTCCCATTGCCCAACGAATAAAATTTAAAAAATTAACAATAACACATAAAAAACCATTTATAATTCTGCTCCAAATGATGTCACCAGTCTTGTCTCCAAATATCACCCAAACCGTCCTCTCTGCTCTTCCCACTACCTCCTGCTCTCTAGCGCCATTGTCTCCTCCTCCCACGCTCGTTTCCAGGACTTTTTCAGAGTCTCCCCCATCCTCTGGAACTCTCCTCTCCTATTCTATGGAACTCTCTACCCCAATCTATCAGATTATCGTCTTCTCTGCCCACTTTTAGGCGATCTCTGAAAACCTGTCTCTTCAGGGAAGCCTATCCTGCCCTCAGCTAATACTGGAATCTTCTACTCTTCCCAACCAGTCCATCCCAGGGGTGGACTGACCATTTAGCCACTCAGCACTGCCCAAGGGCCCAGGGTCAGTAGGGGCCCCATGAGATGCCCCTGCTACCTTTCATTGGCTTTTTCATGGGCTTTTTTGGGTGTGGGCGAGGACACGGGGGCCCCATAATACCCTATTGCCCAGGAGCCCCATGAGTTGTCAGTCCTCCCCTGGTCCATCCCCCACAGTTATTACCTTTTGTACCACCAGACCCTCCCTCTTAGATTGTAAGCTCCCAGGATCAGGGCCCTCCTATCCCTCTTGTATTGAACTGTATTGTTGCTGTATTGTCTCCTGTTATATTGTAAAGTGCTGAGCAAACTGTTGGCACCATAAATCCTGTATAATAACAATCTCTTGTGATAGCATGGGCCATGACTGGTCCATCTGGGACCAGACGACACCGGCCAGAGCAGTCCTGCCCCCCCCCCCCCCCCCCTGACTGGGATGGGAGAGCCTGCGAAAGATGGCGGAGGGACCAGTGGTGTATTTAGAATTTGTGCTGCCCTAGGCAACACAAAAAATCTGCCGCCCCCCCCAACATACATCATGCCCCCTGTGACCTCCCCTCCTGCACACCACCACAACCACTCCACGAGAGAAGGAGAGACTGAGAGAGACTCACCATCACATTGGCTCCCTTTCTGGAGTCTCACTGCCGCTCCCCCGGCTCCCCTCACTCCGCTCTTCCACCTGCCGCCCACCCCCAGCGTCCTCTCTCTCTGCCGCCGCCCCCCTCTTAAAAATGCCGCCAAAGGCAAACTCCTTCTTTGACTTGCGGCAAATACACCCCTGGGTGGGAAGGGGGGAGGCTCATCCCCTTCCACCACCTTTAGAAGTGACCAAGTGGCTGTATAGCCACTCTAATCCCTTGTACATTAAACAGCATCACTGGATGCAAGCTTTGATATGGGACAATGCCTGTACCTGGAGACATCATCCCGTATGACCACTTCAACCTGGTGACGTCATACAGCGTCCACCCAGAGAGAAGCTTTATTCACTGCTCCTGACTGAATGACATTTAGAAATGTTTTTCTGTACTGGTACCCCCGGGGCAAGGACATTCCCAATCCCCATCCCCCCCCCCCCCCCCATTCCTTCCACCACCATGCTATTTTTTGACACCCCCTTGCCTGTTAACCCATAAAATGGGCATTTTTAATTTGATAGATTCGGCTTCCATCAATTTCAATGGGGTTTGGAATCCGAACTTCTTGAATCAGTTTGGCTCATCCCTAATTGCTGGTTTTGGAGGAGCTAATCCTTGGAGAAGACCCTGAGAAGGTTGTAAACATTTCATGGAAAGTATTAGAAGGGACATTTCTTCCTTCCCGTAAGTCGCTGTGTGCATTCCATTTATCATGATTGACGGACTCAGTGACACCATAGAGAGATGCTGTCCCGGCACCCGCGCTCTGTGTTCCTCGTCCTGTAGACCACCAACCGGAGGAGAATTCTGCTTTCCAGAAAGAACATGCTGTGCCTCTGTACACAGATCATGGAAAGTCCCCAACTTCCCTCTGAGCTTCAGATTGCTGGCGTTCAGTCAAACTTCACTTACCATGAGAATTAAACATTTCATTGTTCTTAAAGGAAAACTCCACATTTGTTAATATAGCATAGAAGATTGTTACACAGATTTGTCATTTAAATCTCCCCTTCAGTCTCGCACAGGTGTACCGGCTCCTCCCCCCCTTCAGTCTTGCACAGGTGTACCGGCTCCTCCCCTTCAGTCTTGCACAGGTGTACCGGCTCCTCCCCTTCAGTCTTGCACAGGTGTACCAACTCCTCCCCTTTAGTCTTGCACAGGTGTATCGACCCCTCCCCTTCAGTCTTGCACAGGTGTACCGGCTCCTCCCCTTCAGTCTCGCACAGGTGTACCGGCTCCTCCCCTTCAGTCTCGCACAGGTGTACCGGCTCCTCCCCTTCAGTCTCGCACAGGTGTACCGGCTCCTCCCCTTCAGTCTCGCACAGGTGTACCGGCTCCTCCTCTTCAGTCTCGCACAGGTGTACCGGCTCCTCCCATTCAGTCTCGCACAGGTGTATCGGCTCCTCCCCTTCAGTCTCGCACAGGTGTACCGGCTCCTCCCCTTCAGTCTCGCACAGGTGTACCGGCTCCTCCCCTTCAGTCTCGCACAGGTGTACCGGCTCCTCCTCTTCAGTCTCGCACAGGTGTACCGGCTCCTCCCATTCAGTCTTGCACAGGTGTATCGGCTCCTCCCCTTCAGTCTTTCACAGGTGTACCGGCTTCTCCCCTTCAGTCTTGCACAGGTGTACCGGCTTCTCCCCTTCATTCTTGCACAGGTGTAGCGGCTCCTCCCCTTCAGTCTTGCACAGGTGTACCGGCTCCTCCCCTTCAGTCTTGCACAGGTGTACAGGCTCCTCCCCTTCAGTCTTGCACAGGTGTACCGGCTCCTCCCCTTCAGTCTTGCACAGGTGTACCGGCTCTTCCCCTTCAGTCTTGCTCAGGTGTACCGGCTCCTCCCCTTCAGTCTTGCAAAGGTGTACCAGCTCCTCCCCTTCAGTCTTGCGCAGGTGTACCGGCTCCTCCCTTTCAGTCTTGCTCAGGTGTACCGGCTCCTCCCCTTCAGTTTTGCACTGGTGTACCAGCTCCTCCCCTTCAGTCTTGCGCAGGTGTACCGGCTCCTCCCCTTCAGTCTCGCACAGGTGTACCGGCTCCTCCCCTTCAGTCTCGCACAGGTGTACCGGCTCCTCCTCTTCAGTCTCGCACAGGTGTACCGGCTCCTCCCAATCAGTCTCGCACAGGTGTACCGGCTCCTCCCCTTCAGTCTTGCACAGGTGTACCGGCTCCTCCCCTTCAGTCTCGCACAGGTGTACCGGCTCCTCCTCTTCAGTCTCGCACAGGTGTACCGGCTCCTCCTATTCAGTCTCGCACAGGTGTATCGGCTCCTCCCCTTCAGTCTTTCACAGGTGTACCGGCTTCTCCCCTTCAGTCTCACACAGGTGTTCCGGCTCCTCCCCTTCAGTCTTGCACAGGTGTACCGGCTTCTCCCCTTCATTCTTGCACAGGTGTAGCGGCTCCTCCCCTTCAGTCTTGCACAGGTGTATTGGCTCTTCCCCTTCAGTCTTGCACAGGTGTATCGGCTCCTCCCCTTCAGTCTTGCACAGGTGTACCGCCTCCTCCCCTTCAGTCTTGCACAGGTGTACCGGCTCCTCCCCTTCAGTCTTGCACAGGTGTACCGGCTCCTCCCCTTCAGTCTTGCAAAGGTGTACCGGCTCCTCCCCTTCAGTCTTGCACAGGTGTACCGGCTCCTCCCCTTCAGTCTTCCTCTGATTTCCCTGCACACTGGGAGCTACTCACAATGTGCATTAGAAGCTGCAGCCAATCGGATAGAGCTCCGCCTCATTTCTTGACTGGAGGACTTCCGGCATCATCTACCAGCCTGACTGTCCCTGGCCCCGCCCCTTTCTTTCATTGGACGCTCAACATCACATGATGGCAAGCTAATGTAAGAGACTTACTGGCTCCGCTTGAAGCTGAAGAATAAAAGGAATCACCTCACCGGCGTGAGAATGGAGGGGGAGCGGTGTCCACAAATGGTTCCAGTGACATTCATGCAGCTCATGAAAGGACGCCGCTCTAACCGCCCGTGGAGTTTGGTGTATGGAATGGCCTCCGGCCACGCCCGCTGATGCATTTTGCCCCACCCACCAGGGCTTGATCACTGAGGACTCCTCTGTGATCAAGCCCCCAGTGGGCGGGGCAAAACATATCAGTGGGTTTGGCCAGAGCGGTGGCTACTGACGCATTTTGCACCACCCACTGGGCCTTCATCACATAGGAGTCGCCGGTGGGCGAGGCAAAATGCATCAGGGGTTTTGGCCAGAGCAGCGGCCCTATGATGCGTTTTGCACCACTCACTGGGGCTTGTTCACAGAGGACTCCTCTGTGATATAGCCCCAGTGGGCAAGGCGAAACGCAGCAGTGGGGTTTGGCCTGAGCACCGGCTTGCTTTTGCACCACCCACTGGGGCTTGATCACAGAGGACTCCTCTTGTGATCAAGCTCCAGTGGGTGGGGTGAAACGCATCAGTGGGTTTCACCAGAGCAGCAGCCCTCTGACGTGTTTTACACCACCCACTGGGGCCTGATCACAGAGGAGGTGGGCGAGGCAAAAGTCATCAGAGGGGTTTGGCCAGAGCAGCATAGCCCTATGATGCGTCTTTCACCACTCACTGGGGCTTGATCAAAAGGATTCCTCTGTGATAAAGCCCCGGTGGGCAAGGCGAAACGCAGCAGTGGGGTTTGGCCAGAGTGCTGGCCTGCTTTTGCATTTTGCACCACCCATTGGGACTTGATCACAGAGGACTCCTCTGTGATCAAGCCCCGGTGGGAGAGGCAAAACGCATCAGGGGTTTGGCCAGAGCGGCGGCTCAGACACGTTTTACACCACCCACTGGGGCTTGATCACAGAGGACTCCTCTATGATCAAGCCCTGGTGGGCGAGATGAAACATATTAGTAGGTTTGGTCAGAGCAATGGCCACTGACGTGTTTTGCCCCACCCACTGGGGCAAAACGCATCAGTAGGCATGGCCAGAGCAGCAGCCAAGGCCATTCCATACACCGGCTGGTTAGATCGGAGTCCTTTCTTGAATCACATATTGGCGATAACCTATGGTGGACTCCTCTAGACTGACACCCACTCATCATTGGATTTCAGGTCTTTCAATCAGGGAGGCTCAACATCACATCTGAGCTTCACCTCAGGTGGTCTGCAAGCAAATACAGCCTGCCCAGGAGCACCCACCCCTGCTGAGTGACACCCACCCCTGCTGAGTGACACCCACCCCTGCCGAGTGACACCCACCCATCAAGGCATTTGGATATTTGCATAACTCCTCCCAAGAACCAGCCCACTGCTTGCATCAGGACTGAGAGCATGATGTTTTCAGGAAGCTATGTACAGTCCCCTTCCTGCCCCTCCCACCAGTCACTATCTGCTTAAACAGCATAGAGAAGCACAGAGAATCAGCGATCCTTGGATCTAAAATAAGGTATGAAAATGGAATAGTTTTCTTTTAAAAGTCATTTAAATCCTAAATATTTTCCGAAAGGAGACTCCCTGTAGAATAAAATGGTGTCAATTGCAATTTATTTTTTATGTAGCATGATATTTGAGCGACTGTTTCTCAAAACTCGACATTTTTAGGAAAATAATACACTGAAATGAATTTTAGTAACCACAGACACATTATAATAGCCACTTTTAGTTTTGTAAAATAGAAAAGATGAACTGACAGCGAATCAGCGAGTAAATAGATACCGAACAGGTCTAGAATCTGAACTGAGCCCGTGAAACGGCATAAAAAACGCCAGTACCTATTATTTGTGTTATTATGGGCAGCACAGTGGCTAAGTGGTTATCACTTCCGCCTGGCAGTACTGGGGTCGTTGGTTTGAATCCCAACCACGGCACCACCTGTCTGGAGTTTGTATGTTCTCCCTGTGCCTGCGTGGGTTTCCTCCAGGTGCTCCAGTTTCCTCCCACACTCCAAAGACATGCTGGGAGGTTAATTGGCTCCTGTCTAAATTGTCCCTAGTATGTGTATGTATGACTGTAAGTTAGGGACCTTAGATTGTACACCCCTTGAGGGTTAGGGACCTTAGATTGTACACCCCTTGAGGGTTAGGGACCTTAGATTGTACGCCCCTTGAGGGTTAGGGACCTTAGATTGTACACCCCTTGAGGGTTAGGGACCTTAGATTGTACGCTCCTCGGGGGGGGGGACTGATGGGAATGTACAATATATATATGTAAAGTGCTGAGTAAATTGATGGCGCAATATAAGTACCTGAAATAAATAAATAAATAATTATTGTCCATGGGTGATGCTTTAAAAGCCTTTACAGGTCATCAGTTTGGAGTTAACCGTGAATGATATCTCTAGAATTATTGCTGTCACTGCAACATTCACAGCAATACCTCACGTGGTGCAGTCACTGCTTACATATGCATGTGGGCCACGCGCATTTGTAGTCATGTGTATGTGCGGGGGGGGGGGCTGTTTCTTTAATTATTTTTTTTTCTTTTTTTAGTATTTCTATTTATTTTATGGGCAGCACAGTGGCTAAGTGGTTAGCACTTCCACCTGGCAGTACTCGGGTTGTTGGTTTGAATCCCAACCACAGCACCACCTGTCTGGAGTTTGTATGTTCTCCCTGTGCCTGTGTGGGTTTCCTCCGGGTACTCTGGTTTCCTCCCACACTCCAAAGACATGCTGGTAGGTGAATTGGCTCCTGTCTAAATTGGCCCTAATATGTGTATGTATGAATGTGAGTTAGGGACCTTAGATTGTACGCTCCTTGGGGGGTGGGGACTGATGTGAATGTACAATATATATGTAAAGCGCTCTGTAAATTGGTGGCGCTATATAAGTACCTATAATAATCATGTCCCTGTACAGTATTTATGCCTTTAAAGTGCATTTTATAAAGTTTTGAACAGAAATTTAATTTTATTTTTTTTTGCCTCCGGAATGGATTAATTGGTTTTAAATGCATTTACATTTTTTTTTTTTAATCATGTCCCTGTACAGTGTTTATGCCTTTAAAGTGCACTTTATAAAGAGTTTTGAACAGATAAAATACTTGTTTACATCAAAATATGAAGAATATATTTTTAAAAATATGCTGTATATTTTTTAAATATATTCTTCAGATTTTGTTAACATATAAAAAAGTAATTTTAACATATTTTTACATATATTTGTAAATGCATTCCAAAAATGTAGATTTGTATTTTTAAATGCATTTTTTTTATATATTACAAAACATTAAAAACATTTTTTTAAATATATTTTTTTTAAATATATTCTTCAGATTTTTTTTTACATATAAAAAAGTCATTTTAACATATATTTGTAAATACATTCCAAAAATGTAGATTTGTATTTTTAAAGACATACAGTATATTTGAAATGTATTTTTAAAAGTATTTTTCATATATTTTGTAATAAAAATGCATTTCAACTTGCAGTATATATATATTTTTTTAAAATATATTGAATATGGCCAAAATTACAGCATTTGAAATATATGTCAATATATTTGGGAAGAATATTTTAATAAATATATTTCACACACACACACATACATATATATATATATATATATATATATATATATATATATATATATATATTTTGAAATATATTAAATATGGCCAAAATTGTAGCATTTCGAAATGCAGTATATATATATATATATATATATATATATATATATATATATATTTTTTTTTTTTTTAATATATTGAATACGGCCAAAATTGTAGCATTTCAAATATATTTTTCTTGCAGGTGGGCAGGCTCAGCCGCTCAACACTAGTTTTTTATTATTTTAGATGTTTGATGTGGGAACACATTCGAGGAGCGTGCCGCAGCCTTTTTTGTATCATTTTGAGCACATTTATTGTCGTGAGACTATGGAATTTTGGTTCAACAGTGGAGGAGTTATTAATGATTTTTTCACGTGATATGCAAATCTAACCAGATTTATTTTTATTTAATAAATATTGGGCCAGTGTGAACCTGTGATTATTGCTTTTAAAAAAAAAAGATTAAAAACTGAGCAATGAATAAATACACACATTAATTCTGCCGACTGCCACATGTGTATATATATATATATATATATATATATATATATATATATTGCTGCACATTGGCCTGTCTGCGCCGGATCATGTACATGTACGTGATCCGGCTTTTACGGATAGGGAGTGCGTATTCGCTCCCGAACATGCCAATCAGTTGTTCTCAGCCAATGATTTATGGCTGGGACCCCGCTGATCTGTGGATCGAATGACAGGAGAGAGCCCTGTGTTGGTAAACAACACACAGCTCTCTACTGACAGCAACGATGTGCTGTTTTCTTTCTTTTTTCTCCCTGCAAAGCAGGGAGTAAAAGTCAGCACATTGCTTAATGAAAACACTCACACTCTTGCTGAGCCACCTGGAATGCTGGACAGCTCCCTTAACAATTATTTGGATGATCCTACCTTGACCTTGTTTGTCATGAACCTTGAACCCCTTGCTCCTCCCATGAACTTCCTGATATAAGCCATGTCTCTGCACTTCCTGTTTGCCAGATTATTGTGCTCTCCAGCCAGTATCGTGCTCCTTATCATTTCTGTTGTTATCCGTGTTTTGCTATCACTCGTTGTTGACCCTTGGCTTGTTCTCGACTACGCTTCTGCCCGATCCCAACCTGCGACTGCTCATTACAGACCTTGGCTTGTTCTTGACTACGCTTCTGCCCGATCCCAACCTGTGACTGCTCCTTACTGACCTTGGCTTGTTCTCGACTACGCTTCTGCCCGATCCCAACCTGCAACTGCTCATTACCAACCTTGGCTTGTTCTTCATAACGCTTCTGCCTGATCTCAACCTGCGACTGCTCATTACCGACCTTGACTTGTTCTCGACTACTCTTCTACCTGATCCCAACCTGCGACTTCTCATTACCGACCTTGGCTTGTTCTCGACTGCGCTTCTGCCCGATCCCAACCTGCAACTGCTCATTACCAACCTTGGCTTGTTCTTCACAACGCTTCTGCCTGATCTCAACCTGCGACTGCTCATTACCGACCTTGACTTGTTCTCGACTACGCTTCTACCTGATCCCAACCTGCGACTTCTCATTACCGACCTTGGCTTGTTCTCGACTATGCTTCTGCCTGATCCCAACCTGCGACTGCTCATTACCGACCTTGGCTTGTTCTTCACAACGCTTCTGCCTGATCCCAACCTGCAACTGCTCATTACTGACCTTGACTTGTTCTCGACTACGCTTCTACCTGATCCCAACTTGCGACTTCTCATTACCAACCTTGGCTTGTTCTCGACTACGCTTCTGCCCGATCCCAACCTGCGACTGCTCCTTACCGACCTTGGCTTGTTCTCGACTACGCTTCTGCCCGATCCCAACCTGCGACTGCTCCTTACCGACCTTGGCTTGTTCTCGACTACGCTTCTGCCCGATCCCAACCTGCGACTGCTCCTTACCGACCTTGGCTTGTTCTCGACTACTCTTCTGCCTGATCCCAACCTGCGACTGCTCATTACCGACCTTGACTTGTTCTCGACTATGCTTCTGCCTGATCCCAACCTGCGACTGCTTATTACCGACCTTGGCTTGTTTACTGACCACGCTTCCATTTGATCTTTACCTGTTGATACGCTACTGGACCTCCACTTGCTCACCTCCTGGTGGGGTGATCCTGAGAACCGCAACCTGGTGCTAACATACAGCCAAACCCATCTCCACCATCAGGAGCTCTGGTGAACACCGGTTGGTACTTAGACGCCACACCTCGGGTGATCCCACTCCTCCACCATGGTGACCTGCCTGTGTACCTACCCTGCTGGTTTCAGGTGAGCCTTTCCACTGCTATAGCAACTGGTCTTTGAGCCTGATCCCTGATCGTGACATATACACTTATTGGGATTTTTTTTTTTTTTTTTACCAAATATAGGAAAACATTTGATTTTTTATTTTTATTTTGTATCAGATATGTTTTATAGCAGAAAGTAACTTTGTTTTTTGTTCAAACTTTCTGGTGTTTTTTATGTTTATATATATATATATATATATATATATATATATTCATTATTATATATAATATATATATTTATTATTATTTATATAATAAAAAATAAAAACCCAATGGTGATCCAGTACGACCAAAAGAAAGCTCCATTTGTATGGGGAGAAAAAAAAAATTATATAAATTTTGTTGTTCATGGTGTACGACCGCGCAATTGGCAGTTAAAGTAGCATAACGCAGAACAGCAAAATATGGCCTGGTCATAAAGGGGGAAAAATCATCCAGGGCTCAAGTGATTAATGAATTAATGTATTACATAAATATACTGTATGTACCTGTAATAAATAAATAAAACGTGGCCTATTTAAAAGAAAACAAATCTGTTCTGTAGACCTTTATTTTGTAATGTCTGGGCATACATACCCTTAATAAGAAAAATAATGTCTAATGGGGTGCGGTCCTGATGATCAGCCACACTACTCCCCTCTTTATAGATCACCCCTCAAATCTCATACGCATCAAAAATGCACAGAGCAGCTGAGATCCTGGAACTGGAAGATGTGATGTGTGGTGCCATCTAGTGGACCATCTACAAACTGCTATTGCTGATATGATGCTCAAATGTTTGGAAGAAAATCACTCATTTAAGGTTCTAGAATGGGAAGAGAATTGTAGATACTGTCCTGTGTAATGATGGGGGAGGGAGGGGTCCTGTGTAATGATGGGGGAGGGAGGGGTCCTGTATAATGATGGGGGAGGGTTTCTGTGTAATGATGGGGGAGGGAGGGGTCCTGTGTAATGATGGAGGTAGTATGGGGGAGGGGGTCCGGTGTAATAATTGGGGTAGTAGGAGAGAGGGGGTCATGTGTAATAATGGGGGTAGTAGGAGGGAGGGGTCCTGTGTAATGATGGAGGAGGGAGGGTCCTGTGTAATGATGGAGGTAGTATGGGGGAGGGGGTCCTGTGTAATAATGGGAGTAGTAGGAGGGAGGGGGTCCTGTGCAATGATGGAGGAGGGAGGGGTCCTGTGTAATGTTGGAGGTAGTATGGAGGAGGGGGTCCTGTGTAATAATTGGGGTAGTAGGAGAGAGGGGGTCCTGTGTAATAATGGGGGTAGTAGGCGGGAGGGGGTCCTTTTTAATGAGGGGTAGTATGGAGAGGGGTACTGTGTAATTATGGAGGTAATATGGAGGAGGGGTCCTGTGTAATTATGGTAGTAGTATGGGGGAGGGGTCCTGTGTAATGAGGGGGCAGTATGGGGGAGGGGGTCCTGTGTAATGATGAAGGAAGGAGGGTCCTCTGTAATGATGGAGGTAATATGGGGGAGAGGGTCCTGTGTAATGAGGGGGTAGTATGGGGGAAGGGTACTGTGTAATGATGAGGGTAGTAGGTTGGAGGGGGTCCTGTGTAATTATGGTAGTAGTATGGGGGGAGGGGTCCTGTGTAATGATGGAGGAGGGGGGCTCCTGTGTAATTTTATGTTTCAATAAGTCTATGTATTTTTTTTTTTTATGTTGAGGTGGAGAGGAGAATGACATAGGGGGGATTATTTGCCCAGGGTCCAATCAATATATAAGATAGCTCTGTGGTTGGGGATGGGAGTAAGGCCGGAGTTAAGATCACACATTCAGCCATTAGTGCCATAGGTACAACTAACCTCGTTGGCCGAGAGAAGTCTTTTTGTATGGAAGCCTCCACAGATACACATACCCATCCCTGACCAAAACGTCAGGAGCAAAGCAAAGCCCAGTCACGCTGTTTTGTGTTTGAAGTCCAACTCCGGGCTCCGCCCCCCACTCCCAGTGCCACTCCCTCCTGGGTGCACCAAAGCTCTATGGTTTGAGTTTCTTTTTAGTCCTACCTAAAACTTCAGGTCCTGGATGGTACGGAGAGTGAAATGATGACTCCAGCACCACTGTCCATAGCATTATACTTTGAATGAAGAGCACCATAAGGTGGTGGGACCAGACAGCTCACTGCACTCACAGTATGTCCTCAGTCTTCCAGGGTAAAGGATGCCGGGTCAACCCAGAATTCTGAGGACATCTTGTGGCAGAAAAGAGGTAATTCAGGGGTCAGCCTTGAATTGCAGCTTTTTATTTCTAACATATCCCGGGGTCTTTTTTTAATCTTAAAGTTTTGCCCCCGATGGGTTCTAACCAACTGAGGGATTCATGAAGAATGGCTGTGTACTCTGAGAATTGTATACTGAGTCAGTAAGATTCACTGTGGTAGACCAACAAAAACTTTCCCTGACCATCATGGAAGAGTCCCAGGACTGTAGATGTCTACAAGACCACACGGCGAGGTTCAGGAGGATGTGAGACTTGCAGTGGCAGACACAATGCCGTCCCGTCACGATACTTCCTATTGTTTGGTTTCCTAGCAGAGCGGGTGGGAATCCCCTGATATCCCTGTACTATAGCAGAGAGGAAGCCTGTCTGTCTGGGCTATAGGACAGTTTCATGCTTGTCACATCTCATTGATGACCTTCACCTAAAAATGTGACGGCTGATCTTCAAAACAACTAGCCAGAATCAGGTACAGATCTTAAATCTGACCTCCAGCCTCCCCTTCAGTCTTGCACAGGTGTACCGGCTCCTCCCCTTCAGTCTTGCACAGATGTACCGGCTCCTCCCCTTCAGTCTTGCACAGGTGTACCGGCTCCTCCCCTTCAGTCTTGCACAGGTGTACCAGCTCCTCCCCTACAGTCTTGCACAGGTTTACTGGCTCCTCCCCTTCAGTCTTGCACAGGTGTACCGGCTCCTCCCCTTCAGTCTTGCACAGGTGTACCGGCTCCTCCCCTTCAGTCTTGCACAGGTGTACCGGCTCCTCCCCTTCAGTCTTGCACAGGTGTACCAGCTCCTCCCCTACAGTCTTGCACAGGTTTACTGGCTCCTCCCCTTCAGTCTTGCACAGGTGTACCGGCTCCTCCCCTTCAGTCTTGCACAGGTGTACCGGCTCCTCCCCTTCAGTCTTTCACAGTTGTACTGGCTCCTCCCCTTCAGTCTTGCACAGGTGTATTGGCTCCTCCCCTTCAGTCTTGCACAGGTGTACCGACTCCTCCCCTTCAGTCTTGCACAGGTGTACCGGATCCTCCTCTTCAGTCTTGCACAGGTGTACGGGCTCCTCCCTTTCAGTCTTGCACAGGTGTAGGGGCTCCTCCCCTTCAGTCTTGCACAGGTGTATCAGCTCCTCCCCTTCAGTCTTGCACAGGTGTACCGGCTCCTCTCCTTCAGTCTTGCACAGGTGTACCGACTCCTCCCCTTCAGTCTTGCACAGGTGTACCGGATCCTCCTCTTCAGTCTTGCACAGGTGTAGGGGCTCCTCCCCTTCAGTCTTGCACAGGTGTACCGGCTCCTCCCCTTCAGTCTTGTACAGGTGTACCGGCTCCTCCTCTTCAGTCTTGCACAGGTGTACGGGCTCCTCCCTTTCAGTCTTGCACAGGTGTAGGGGCTCCTCCCCTTCAGTCTTGCACAGGTGTACCGGCTCCTCCCCTTCAGTCTTGCACAGGTGTACCGGCTCCTCCCCTGGACTAAAATGGCTTCCTCTGATGTCACTGCACACTGTGAGCTTCTCACCATGTGCATTAGAAGTTGCAGCAATTCAGATAGAGCTGCGCTCATTTCCTGGCTGGAGGACAACCAGCATCATCTACCACTTTTCTCCCCATCCTGACTGTCCCTGAGACCGCCTCTTTCATTCATTGGATTTCAGTTCTTTCAGCTATGGAAGCCACCAAGTCCAAGGCTCATTACTCCCAGACTGAGCATGAAGGGTTTTTTTTTAAAGCGAAACAAAACAAAACACAAAAAAGTGTTACAATTTAACAAACAAAAAGGTTTAACTTCGGAACTTGAATGTTTAGTTTCGGATAGACTAACCACCTCGTTGCTGCCCACTACCGAAAGATGGCTGCAGTTCAGCTCTCTTGTTCTGGGGGGGCGACCAAGGACATCCCCCCAGAATGCGCCTCCTTTGGATACAGCTGATCACAGATTGAGGTAAAGGGCCAATCACAGCTCATCCCATGGAAGCAAACTTGCCGGTTATCGGCGGTCCTATCCTTACACGTTGTCACTGTGAGAGGAAAGGAGAGCTGATAACCGGCAATCCTGACAGGACACATATACACTGATATTCAGTGCCATAATCATTAGTGAAGCCTCATCAGTGCAGCTTATCAGTGCCTGTCAGTGCCTCATCATCAGTGGCCATCAGTGTAGCTTATCAGTGCCCATCAGTGCAGCCTTGTCAGTGCCTCATCATCAGTGGCCATCAGTGCAGTTTATCAGTGCCCATCAGTGCAGCCTTGTCAGTGCCTCATCATCAGTGGCCATCAGTGTAGCTTATCAGTGCCCATCAGTGCAGCCTTGTCAGTGCCTCATCATCAGTGGCCATCAGTGCAGCTTATCAGTGCCTGTCAGTGCCTCCTCATCAGTAGCCATCAGTGTAGCTTATCAGTGCCCATCAGTGCAGCCTTGTCAGTGCCTCATCATCAGTGGCCATCAGTGCAGCTTACCAGTGCCCATCAGTGCAGGCTTGTCAGTGCCTCCTCATCAGTGGCCATCTGTGCAGCTTATCAGTGCTCTACATGGGGACAAGGTATTTGGGGGGAAGCCCCCCTGCCCCAAAACACCCCCCCCCCATGTCGAGGGCATGTGGCCTGGTATGGTTTGGGGGGAAGCATTTGCTCGCCCCCTCCCCCCTTTCCTGACCTGCCAGGCTGCATGCTCGGATAACGGTCTGGTATGGATTTTGGGGGGGACCCCCACACCATTGTTTAAAAAAAAGTTTGGTGTGGGGGTTCCATTCAAAATCCATACCAGACCCGTAGGGTTTGGTATGGATGAGGGGGGACCCCACACATTAAAAAAAAAAGTGAATTCTGGCGATTCTTTTTACATTCGGCTGCCAATGGGGAACCCCACTGACAGCCGAGACATGAATGAATGTTTTTAGCAGCTTTGCAGTATCTTTCCACATTCTTGGATGCGGTAGGATCGCACTTGGTGAATTGTTCGTAGTTCGTGGTCGAACTTTCATTAGGTTTGAATGTTCAATCGCGAACCAAACAGGGGGATGTTCAGCCCATCACCACCTCATAGCCGTATGTCTGCAGAGTGACATCTAAGGCACTGCTGCTTCTGAATGCTGGTTTTAGAAACTTTGGATTGAGTGTGTCTAGGTGCAAGCAGACCACAGGCAGTGATGGAGATGAGCCTTGGTGATGGAATAGTTCCGAGAGTTCAGTTCCTCTTTAAGGAACCTCATTGAATCAATTAATATTCAGATTCTTATACAAGCCTGAGCATGACTGGTTCTCTTTGAACAGCTTTGGTAGTCATTAGTGAATGGCGGTTTGTACCATTTTCTCATACATCACAATTCTCACATCCTCCTGATCCGGGTTTTGCACTCTGAGAACCGTCTACTGCTTTCATAATATTCACTGTGGTAGACCAATAAGAACTGTCCCTGGGCAACCACAGCTGACCACCATGGAAGAGTCCCGGGACGGCATGTGGCTTGCAGAAAAAAAGAAGAACGAGGCAGAGAAGTGTGTTTTTCTGTTTAGTAAACACATTTGTTGTACGGCATTGATGTTCAACTTTGTTAGTGGGAACGGCCAAAGGCAGGGGTGGGCAACTTTGGTCCTCCAGCTGTTGGTGAACTACAAGTTCCATCATGCCCCTGCCTTTGGGAGTCATGCTTGTAACTGTCAGTTTTGCAATGCCTCATGGGACTTGTAGTTCTACAACAGCTGGAGGGCCACAGTTGCCCACCCCTGGCCAAAGGGATATGGGGCAAGGGCAGGAAACTCATGTAAAGTACCTCCATGGTCCTGCACCTGGAACTGTGGAAATGTACAACACTCACTATAGGATTGGCAGTCAACAAGTGGCACCACTTTGAAGAAGGTTTGCACACATCGGTCCCTCCCCCCCCCCCCCCCCCCAAATAATTGATTTTGCTTTGCACTGAAGGCAGGGCCAGTGCTAGACTATTTTGCAACCTAGGCAAAATGAGCTACTTGCACCCCCCCCCCCCAAAGAAAATAAATAAACTTCACTTATAGTTTTACCTCACACCCCCAGCACACATCCTTTTCTCTCTAATTTTTCACCCTAGCAGAAATCGTCTCCCCTAGATCCCCCCTCCTAGCATAAATCCTCCCCAATCCCACCTCCTAACAAACCCCCCTCAATTAACCCTTCCCAGCACAAACCCTTCCTCCCCACCCAAATCCCCTATCCTAGGCACAAATCCCCCCATCCTAGCACATCCGCTCCTAGAACAATCCCCCCTTCTAGCACCCCCTGTCAATCCCCCCTTCTAGAACAAATCTCCCCCAATCCTCCCTTCTAGCACAACACCTCGACCCCCCCCCCCCCAATCCCCTCTCCTAGCACAAATCCCCCATCCTAGCACATCCACTTTTAGAACAATCTCCCCTTCTATCACCCCCCCCCCTCAATCTCCCCTTATAGAACAAATCTCCCCCAATCCTCCCTTCTAGCACAACACCCCCCACAATCCCCTCTCCTATCACAAATCCCCCCCAACCCCCTCTCCTAGCACAAATCCCCCCCCCCAATACCCCCTCCTAGCATAAATCCCCCCCCCAATCCCACCTCCTAGCACACCCCCCTCAACTTACCCTTCCCAGCACAAACCCTTCCTCCCCACCCAAATCCCCTATCCTAGCACATCCGCTTCTAGAACGATCCCCCCTTCTAGCACACCCTGTCAATCCCCCCTTCTAGAACAAATCTCCCCAAATCCTCCCTTCTAGCACAACAACCCCCCCCGATCCCCTCTCCTTACACAAATCCCCCCCAATCCCCTCTCCTAGCACAAATCCCCCCCAATACCCACTCCTGGCATAAATCCCCCCCAATCCCACCTCCTAGCACACCCCCCTCAACTTACTCTTCATAGCACAAACCCTTCCTCCCCACCCAAATCCCCTATCCTAGCACAAATCCCCCATCCTAGCACATCCACTCCTAGAACAATCCCCCCTTCTAGAACACCCTGTCAATCCCCCCTTCTAGAACAAATCTCCCCCAATCCTCCCTTCTAGCACAACAACCCCCCCCCGATCCCCTCTCATTCCACAAATCCCCCCCAATCCCCTCTCCTAGCACAAATCCCCCCCAATACCCACTCCTAACACAAATCCCCCCCAATCCCCCCTCCTAGCATAAATCCCCCCAATCCCACCTCCTAGCACACCCCCCTCAATTTACCCTTCCCAGCACAAACCATTCCTCCCCACCCAAATCCCCTATCCTAGCACATCCGCTCCTAGAACAATCCCCCCCTTCTAGCACCCCCCTCAATCCCCGCTTTTAGAACAAATCTCCCCCAATCCTCCCTTCTAGCACAACACCCCGACCCCCCCCCCCAATCCCCTCTCCTTACACAAATCCCCCCCAATCCCCTCTCCTAGCCCAAACTTCCCCCTCAATACCCCCTCATAGCATAAATCCCCCCCAATCCCACCTCCTAGCACACCCCCTCCAACTTACCCTTCCCAGCACAAACCCTTCCTCCCCACCCAAATCCCCTATCTTAGCACAAATCCCCCCATCCTAGCACACATCTGCTCCTAGAACAATCCCCCCTTCTTGCACCCCCCGTCAATCCCCCCTTCTAGAACAAATCTCCCCCAATCCTCCCTTCTAGCACAACACCCCTGCCAATCCCCTCTCCTAACACAAATCCCCCCCAATCCCCTCTCCTAGCACAAAGCCCACCCAATCCCCCCTCCTAGCATAAATCCCCCCCAATCCCACCTCCTAGCACCCCCCCCTTCAATTTACCCTTCCCAGCACAAACCATTCCTCCTCACCCAAATCCCCTATCCTAGCACATCCGCTCCTAGAACAATCCTCCCTTCTAGCACCCCCCCTCAATCCCCCCCTTTAGAACAAATCTCCCCAAATCCTCCCTTCTAGCACAACACCCCAACCCCCCCCCTCCATCCCCTCTCCTAACACAAATCCCCCCCCCAATCCCCTCTCCT